CCTCAAATGCTGCAGGCACATGATAGGTGTTCAATAAATGTTTATTAGTTGAAATACTGATATTTATAATATCCTGAGAAAATACAAATTGAGTCACTAAACAACTAAATTTTGTTGAGTAACTTTTTGGTAGTCTCTTTTTACATTCTAACTTGTTAAAAATTATAGTCTACATATGATATGATAATGTGAGTGTGGTATAAAAAGGAGCTTCATCTTAACCATGAGGTCCTGTTCTCCACTAAGGAGCCTAGTCAGCACTGTCCAGTAGAGTTTTCTACAAAGATAAAAATATTTTCATGCAGCCTGACATGGTAGCCACTAGCCATGTGGATAACAAACACTTTGAATGTAGCTAGTGTGACTCAGAAACTGAGTATTTATTCTTATTTTACTTTAATTAAAATTTAAATAGCTCCATGTGACTTCTGGCTACCATATTGTTTAGCACAGGTCTAGATAAATCATCAAAATGATAAAATTTAAATTTCATTTTTTTCAATTCTAATAAAATACACCATAACTAAAAGCAATGTTTTTTTAAACTAAAAGTTAACTGTATAATTAAAAGTATACTCTTAGAAAACACAACTATCTGTATTTGAACAATTTATTTTTTTCATTTATTACTTGACAATCAATGGCAGTTAATAGGAAGTCAATAAAGCAAAACATAATTACCCGCAGGGACAAACACGTAAAGTATTTCATTTTAATTACCTTGCAGTTTCCTGGCGAAGAGCATTAAGGAATGTGTCTGGATGGAACAGTTCTGATAGATCAAGTGTATCAGAGAGAAGAGCCTGTTTTTCAGCTTTATCTACCCAGTTCTAGAGGAGGGGAATATAAATACGCACACACTTAAAAGATAAATCAGTTAAAGAATTATTATGCACATGCCATTTTCAATGAGAAAGTGTTACAGTTTCCAAATGCTTTGAAATGGTGTCCAGAAAAAAAATTTCCACTTTACATTGTCAAATCAGGAATAGTAATTTGGCATAAAATTCATCCATCATAAATAAGCTTTCTTGCACAATTTTTTGTTGGTAAAACTCTGCTCAAAATAAAAAGTTCAAAATGTGAAAATTAACCTAATGGATAGTGTTGCTGTTTGGGCCAGCACTTCTAGGGTTGACTCATTTCTTAAAATATGCTAAAGAAATACTGAGCATCTGGGTCTAACTAGAGAGTCCTCAGAGTCCCCAAGTCTTGGCAATGCAAACTGAATTAGGGTTCCAGACCAGATTTGATAGTGAATTTCCCAACTTAATCAAGTATTACAGTGGAGCACAATGTCCAAGAAGAAATAATTCTGTGTTAAAAGGTGTTTTTTAAATAGTCTTTTCTACGTATCTGCCATTTTATAAATCAACCCATGCTGCATTTGTA